CCGTGGTGAGCCAGGCTGGCCCACCAACCCGTCATTATTTTTTTTTATTTAAAAAAATACAATAATTATTAGGTCATGGTGCAGTCTAATATGAGACAATAATAATTTAATGTTGGATTGTGATTTGTAATTTGTGATTTTAGATTGTATTTGAAGTTTAAGATAATTTTGGATTATATTTATCTATTTGAGATTATTTAGATTTGATTTGATTGTATTTAAAATTATCATTTAATGTTTGGGATGAATAATTCATTTAAGGATGTCTTAATTAAGAATTTCATATTTTTAAAATAAGTTTAAATTTTTGGGCTTTAGTTGTATATTAAGAAAAAAAAATGAATTTTTTTTTAAGGTGAGCCAACCCGTTTAACCCACCAACCCGTGGTGGGCCGGGTCGGACTCAATTTTTTTGAGTTCACTGATATATGAGCCGGGTTGGGTTGACCCATCAAATGGCCAACCCGTGGTGGACCGGGCCGGGCGGGCTGGATAGCCCGTTTTGACAACTCTATATGAATGTATATATGCAACCAACACAAACTTCATTGCAACATTGCTATTATTATTTCCCACTTAAATTTAATCTTCACGGCTATTAATTAATGTATTTAATTTTTCAAGGATCCATTACACTATTAAAAAAATATTACATATAATAACATTAAAAAAATGTGACTATAAATATAATATATGAAAATATATATTTATTTAATATATAATTATACATAATGTTAATTTTGAATAAGATATTTAATAACATATTTTATGAGTTATTATAATTTATATCTATACATTTTTATAATATATCAATATATATTATTTATTATATAAATAAATTAATTTTAGTGATAATTTTTGTATTACTATAAATATGTACATTATATACAATTTTTTTATAACGTTAATTTTCAAACAATATGCATACAAAATTTTTGGGGCTTTTTTCCCAATGGGACAAACAAGATAAAAAGGTAACATTGATGTAAAAGAAATTTCTCCAATGAGACAACGAAGGCAACTACTTCATTTTGAACGTGAAATACATATATGACCATTTATTTAATATATACTAATAATGCATACAATGGGGAAAAAAGTAGTACTTACAATAATTGCATTAATCGGGCTTTCCATTTTGTTCATATTTCATACCATTGCTTTCTTTTCAAGGAAAGCTCAACATACAACTTTAATTATATAAACATACGTCACTGAAAATATTAACAAGGGAAAATATCAAGTATAGGATGATTTTCGTTTGCATATGCATATAACCGTTTTTATTTAATACAAATTAAATAAAATTTTGAAAAATCTCACCTAGCCTGCCTCAATTTTTAATGTCAAATGATTTTAAAATAAAATTTAATATAACTTTAATATCGTTTGATGTAGCATGTATCTATAGATGAAAATATTGAGAAGTTTCACATTACAGGATTAAGAAATTTACGTTATTGTATTCTCGTTGAATAAAGAAAAATCTAATGTTAAAAAAACGTGATAGTATTTTTGAAATTATAATCAAGTTTTTTACGTCGGACTCATAAGGAATAACGTAAATTTGAAAATTTACGTTGGGTATAGCTTGTGTCCGACGTAGATTTTTCAATTTACGTCGACTCCTATGAGGTCCGATGTAAAATATCTACAAATTTTCCCGCGCCACTTCTTCTTCCCCGCGCCCTAAGAGCTTTGAATTATATATATCTTAAGTGTATGTGCAAAACGAGTCTTCTGAGTCAATATTTTGTTTGAGTGTATTACATCTGAGTGTACGTTTGGACGTTTGGGTGGTTCTTGAATTTTTGACCGATTGCATTGGATTCGCGTTTGAGGTTAGTTTGAAAAATCATTTCTTAATATATTAGCTAATTTGTTGAAAATAAATGTATGTATTGATCTATTAATATATTAATTAATATTATCATCTTCTTCACGTTTGAGTGGGTCATCTTTTGTTAATATATATTAGTTAATATCATGCAGAATGGTCCGCTCTCCAAGCAGAACGGTCTGTTCTGTTTGCACTCGTTATGTTTTTTTTTTGTTTACAACTTTTTTACGTCGGGTCTTGGTAATGTTCGACGTAAATTTACATCGGCTATCACAACTGATGTAAATTTACGTCTCTCGCATTAATGTCAGACTTTTTTCTGACGTAAAAAGCTTAAAATAACAACGTAAATTACCCTTTTTATACTAGTGAATTCTTCTTATGACATTTTTATATATCTTGATTTTAATAAAATTTTAAAAAAATTATTAATAACACAAAAACCAGCAAAACTTAAACTTATTACGTCAGTGCCGTTGGCGTGAAATTAAAGTTGATCTTCACCTTCAAAAGTTCCTCAAAATGCATGCATTGGCTTCATTAGGATAAAATTCAACACGTTTTTAGATTAGTTAATATGATAATATATAAAGACATGGCCTGAAAATTAAGTGTATCGAAATATGACGATTGTACAACTCGTTTTGGCATAATGTATATAAAATACGTCAATATTATACACTAATCTACATATACGGCACATTAGTGTTTTTATCTGCCTGAAAACAAATATGAAAGGAAACTACCCCCAAAACACACCCAAAAAGAAAAGAAAAGAAAAAGTAATAGTTGAAATTCACTTCAAAATCGTTACATTTTTACAATAAAGTTTTTTTTAAAAAAAAAATACCTTAGGAAATCCATCAGTATAAACATATGTTTTTGGTTTCCTCCGAGCCCGCCATATATTTTATATATGAGTTTATATGTTTAAATTATTTTCCCTGCCACGATATATTGTCAATTACTAAAGTCAGTGACATCGACATACGATACCATGGTTTGCTCTTTATTTTTTAACCTAGACTACTTTTTATAGATAAATTTCTTCATGCACACTACATATATTTTTTAAAAGTCAATATGACGAAATTTCTATAAATTAATTTTGTAATTTTTTAGAAGTTAATTCCATTTTTTCCCCCATTTTCTTCTTTTATAAGTATTTATAAGAAATTTACCAATACAAACTCAACGATTTATTATAGTATTTAAGAAGTTCCGCGATCTCTCCTAACATATACTAAAGTTTAAAGATTAGACCCTTAGTCACAAATTTATAAAATAAAATTACCTATAAATCATGTCATGTTAATATTCTTAAATGTGTATTCTTGACCTTGGTAAAATAAAGGTGATTGGTGCCATGTATGTATATGTAATAATTTGGTAAGAGTTGTTACGATTTAATTAATAATTTTAAATTTGAGTGTTGAATATGTAACTATATTAAATATTTAGATTTAAAAAAAAATAATCGTTCATAATAATTCTATTTAATTTAAATAGTTACAAAATTGACTGAAATAATATATATGTATATTGGGGGCATGGTAATTAAGAAGGTGAGGTAGAAGAAAGAATGCTAGGAATTTTAACCCGCGACTGTTAAGTTGATGCTCCCATTTTACCAAAAAGCAAAGCATCTTGAGGTAGCAGAAAAAATAATGAGCCCCATTGACTAGATTGCCCCTTGAGGTTGAGGGTGACTTCACATCCTCATTATCGCCTTTAAAAAAGCTGCTTCAAGAGAAATTAATTAGAGGCTCTGCACACTTACGAGTATGGGTACTATGGTCTATAAAAGATACATATATATATCTGCCCCCCCTCCCTCCATCTTCAACAAAGACTCATGTCAATTATGGATCAACAATAATAAATACTCATACCTTAAAGTTCCATGAGTGCATTGAGTTGGCACTGTTACCATAGATAAAATGGACTAGTATATATTCCTAACTTTAACTCGTGCAACAACCATTATTCGTATTATTATAAAACAATAAATAAGTGACCCATAAAGTTCCTTTGAAAACAAGACCAAAGTTAGTCATAAAAAATTATATATAAAAAATCTTACTAATTTTGAACTTGCTAAAATTTAGGAATTTTTTTTAAAAATTATATATACATTATTCTATCATTAATTTTATTTTTCTAGTATTTTTTTAAAAAAAAATTATGACAAATTAGATTTTTTTTATTTAATGAAAAAATATATCTCATTCCCACCAAATTAATCTCTGTATATAAAATAATATCTTTGGTCCAATTTAACATCAAAGTTAAAGATCCAATCACAATTTTTAATTAAGAAAAATAAGTGTCCAATCACTTGAGTCAAGGAGTTTTAGTATTATGGAAAACTTCTACACTTTTTAGTTTATATATTTTACGCACTTACAATGTAAATATTTTCCACACTATTATCTAATCATAAATTATGATTTATGATAAATTTAGGGTCTACTTTTTTTTTTAATATTCTAATTTTTATATAAAAAAAGTTTTTTTTCTTTTTTAATATTAAAATTTATCTAATTTTTAAAAAGGTATTTATTAAAAAATATTTTTATAATCAAATTTTTAATTTTAAACAAACTGACGCTTATTGATTTTCATATGATTATTTTAAAAGTTATGCTCTTCATATTTTTTTTAATTAGGTTATATTGATAATGTATGTCCAATAATAAATTTTATTTTTATTTATTTTTAAGAATCAAACTCAGAATAAAAATTTACAACAAGTAAATAGTTAGAACTTAGAACTCTTAACTGATTTTGAATAGGTGTAAAAAAAAGTCACTTTTAATATAGTAGTACTCTTTGTTAATAATCAGGAATCTATAGAAATTCACAAGTTGCATCATTGGGAAATAAGTTTCAGTTACTATGTTTCTAGGCTTCTCTTTTTCAACAAACAATGTACTGATATAACCGAAATTCCATTAAATTAGTGTAATAATAATTACATATAAGAGGCATTAGAGTGTGTGAGTGTGTGATGTTGGAGAGAGAAAGAGAGTGACAGAATAGGAAGCTTACGTGTGTATTGGGGGGCTTGGCCTGTATTTATGCATGCAAAGCAAAAAAAATTACTGTGTGACGAAATTATGAGGGTTTTGTTTCCTTGTGGGGATATTTCTTTTTCTTTCATGGAGCCCATTGAGCTGCTTGTGGGATCAAGTTTCGAGCATTGTGATTGGGTCTCTCACACACACTCTCTCTCTTTTTGAAAGTTTATTAAGGAGGGCTATTACAGACAATCCCTGCTGAAGATGAGGGTTGGAAGCAAGGAAAAGGAAGATAGGAACCCAGAGAGAGAAAATTTTTAAAGATAGAAAGTTGATGGAAAAAGCTGAAAGTTCAAAAGCAAGTTAAAAGAAAGCTGAGGAAACCGAAAGCAAAAATAAATACACCTTTTATTTTTCTTCTCTCTTTCTCCTTCTCCTCCTCCTTCCTGTGCCTTGTGTACCTGTTCCATCTCTCTCTCTCTCTCCCAATGATCTCTTTCTCTTCTTTCACCTTACTTAATTCTATCACCAGCATAGCCTCAGACACAAACATAGCCCCTCCTTGCTTCTCTTCTTAGGCCTGTTATCAGCATCATCAAAGCACTTAGTACCATGTTAGCCAATAACTTATCTCCATCGTCAGTTCCCACTTCTGAGCCTTTTCCCTGCACTGATAACACCACTGCCACCAATAAAAGGAAGAGAAGGCCCGCAGGAACACCAGGTAGTGCACACTTATCACCCTACAAATCTACTCCCTTATTGCTTTTCACTATTATTTTTTTTATCAATTTCATAAGTAAAAAAAAAACTATTATATTTATTTCATTTGAAACAACAAAATCCAAACCATGTTGGTTATTTTGAATAGTATAGTTAATTATGTCATGTGTGTATTAATTCTTAGCCGACCTGACCTGACTCGAACAGAATTGTCTCGGACATGATTGTCTCTGGTGGAAGATACCTGATATCGATGGTAATTGATTATGGTATGTTGTGTGTGTGCAGATCCAGATGCAGAGGTGGTGTCCCTCTCGCCAAAGACTTTGTTGGAATCGGATCGTTATGTGTGTGAGATCTGCAACCAGGGGTTCCAGAGGGACCAGAACCTTCAGATGCATAGGAGGAGGCACAAGGTGCCATGGAAGCTGTTGAAGAGGGAGACACCAGTGGTGAGGAAGAGAGTGTTCGTGTGTCCTGAACCAACTTGTTTGCACCATGACCCATGTCATGCCTTGGGTGATCTTGTTGGGATAAAGAAGCATTTCAGGAGGAAGCACAGCAATCACAAGCAATGGGTTTGTGAAAGATGCTCCAAAGGCTATGCAGTGCAGTCTGATTACAAAGCACATCTCAAAACGTGTGGCACCCGGGGCCACTCTTGTGATTGTGGTCGTGTTTTCTCAAGGTTTGTGATTGCTTCAACTTCTCTTGATTCGTTATGTTCCTATATATCAACATTTGTTTGATTTTTCTATGGTTATTGATTCACAATTTCATAATGAATATGTGTGAGAGAGGATGGATCTATGGGTATTAAAATCTGGGTTGGTGGGGTGATGGGATTAATTTTGATGCCCTTTTCTCCTCTCTATTTCATGTGCTACATATACAAGGTTTCTTTTTATTATTTATTTTCACCATTTTTGAATCTCGTGGTTGTGCATCAAATGAGCAGAATTTGCGAGAGTTCTTGTTTTACTTGGGATTTGACTTGAGAAAAGGGAAATATGTTTTTTGGAATGGAATGTAAAGTGAACAATGGGGGTGGAGAAAAACTAAAAGAAGATTAAAAAAAAAGAAAAAGAAAAGAAATTCAAATATTTGACTGATGGAACCTCAATCCAAAATTTTTATTTTTTTCACAAGCTAGCACTGTTCATTGACAGTTGGGGGAACACGGTTTCCAATGCTCCGTTTTCCGTTGGTGGCATAATAACTGTTTTGTGTTGGCCTCGTCAAAATCCTTCTTATACTTGCATTATTCCAACACCTTAGAACATGTTTGTGTTTTGTATGATCATTCACTCCATTGACAAATTGCATTTACTCAATGACCACCATACTGCATCATAAATCTCAAAAATGGCATGAATTCTTGACTTTCTTTTTTGTCCTTTATTTAGTGGAAACTGGAACCTCTTCCCCCACCATGGATACCTTTTTCAACCACCTTTTATATTCACTTTTTCTTTGTCTCCTTTGCTTTCTTCCTTTTCATATTTTTTCTCCAACTCTATATAATGCTCATCTTCATGCCCACAAACAAGAATAATTATGCAAAACCCTTTTTGAGTGGTTCAATACTAGTTATAACACTAACAATGGTTATTATATATATTCCTTCTCATCTTCATTTTAGGGTGGAGAGTTTCATTGAGCACCAAGATGCTTGCAACATGGGGAGGCTTAGGCCTGAATCTCAACCTCTTCAACCATCTGCATGCTTGTCTAGAACTGCTTCAAGCCCAAGTCCTTCAAGTGAAACCAATTTCAGCACAGCTCCTTGGCCAACAAGAATGATAATACCAAAGCCAGCAGAACCTCCCACAATTTTCATGAACAACCCTATTACTGCTATCACCACTGCTGAAACCTCATCCAAGAACAACAAACTCCACCCCAACTTGGATCTTCAACTCTCCACCCCCACCAGTAACAACAACAAGAACAACACCAACACCAGCACCAACACATCAAATATTGGAAACCTCATTGATGCTGCAATATCCCCTAAGAGGGACCATGAGAACCACTCAACCCATTTGCAACTCTCAATTGGTTCATCAGATATGAGTGAGAAAAATGAATCAAACAGGAACTCGTCAGAGAAAAGCAGCAACAGCAACAGCGAGAAGCAGTCCAACATGGCCTTGTTGAGGGTTCAGGAGCAAGCAAGGGAGCACTTGAGGATAGCAATGGCTGAGAAAGCATATGCTGAGGAAGCTAGGAAACAAGCCAAGAGGCAGATTGAACTTGCGGAACAAGAGTTCACAAACGCCAAGAGGATAAGACAACAAGCACAAGCGGAACTGGACAAAGCCTACGCCTTGAAAGAACATGCAATGAAGCAAATCAACTCCACCATGCTCCAAATCACTTGCCATGCTTGCAAACAACAGTTCCAAGCTCGAAATGCAGCACCGGACGAGAATTCCTTGGTGTTGAGCTACGTGTCTTCTGCTATAACCACAGAAGGAGGAGAAGTAGAAAACGATAATGGAAAAGATCATATGGGAAAGACAACTAACTCTACTTAGAGAGAGTTAATTAACGATCTTCTTCTTCTTCTTCATCATCATCATCGTCTTTCTCTCTACAGTCTATTCTGTATTTTATTTTTCTATGTCCTCCTTTATGATGGGTTAATACTTAATACCCTTTTTTTCTTTCATTTCAACGCTAATATCTTTGTGAATTGGTATACCAAGTGAAGTGAAGGTGAGTGGTGCTGATTATGTAAGTGGGATTAATAGAGCACGGGGTGGAGAAATTAAAGAGTGTAATTCTTCGTGTAACTCGCAGTTTATTGTGCCATGTTTATTTGTTAATTAAATTTGGTATAAATGCAGACTATGATAAAAAGGCTTTCTCGCTGGTTTAATTATATGATTAAACTTTGAATTCTTTATTGTTTTTTAGCTGTTATTATCGTCCGTGGTGTAATGATGATGGCGTGTGCGTGCGTATGTATAAAAATGTTTAATATAAAAACTCGTTGTACATATCTACAAATATAGATTTTATATATATATATATATGTACGTAGTGAGATAGAGTATTATTTTAAGCGTAGTTTTGCTTGGAGCTAGCTAGCATATTGCAATGAATAAGGGGTCAGGGAAAATACTGAAACTTGCTACCCTAAAGTTTTGGTTGTTTTGGATTTAGTGTTTGGACTATGTGTAGATCTTTGTTGGGTAGGGCAGAAAACGGAGAACGTAATTTGACGAGCATTAAAGAAGTGTACTGACAAAAATAAAAAAGAGAGAGCAAATGGATCAGGGAAAATGAATACAAGGCAGTGTGATTGCCCAACTCTCACTCTCAGTCATAGAGAGAGAGAGAGAGAGAAAGAGAATAGAGTGTGTCCTTCCTTTTGGGCTCTGGCGACTTATAAATGTGAATAAAAAGCAGGTTGCATGTTTTTCAGTGCCACTGTTGCGAGGGGTTAATGACAGTGCAGGGACTCACTCGTCCCTCTCAAAGCCACACAGACACAAACAAACTCTATTCATGATGATCACCTTCACGTCCCTTGCATAAGAATCAGAGCCAAGTGGGCGCAGAATTAAGGCAGAACCAGAACCACCAGCATCTTTCCAAATATGCAGAGACCATTCAAACCCTTTCCACTTCCAAAGCAATTCCCTGTGCTGTGAAAAAATAACAGACACATCAAATAAATAGCACATACTTCTGCTCACCAAGTATTTTCTTTTTAAACCTAACACTACTGTATACTAATATCTAAGCATTAAATCAACTCATATATATGATTATTTTAACTTACTAGTAGTTTTATGTTTCAGTCTGGATATGTAATTGTGTTGGTTTTAATTATCAAAAAAATATATATCTTCAATTAAAGATAGATATATATTGTCTATATAAGAAAAGTAAAAGGATATTAATAATTTGAAATACTGAAATTTAATTAATGAACTTATGTCTTTTGATCTATATTAATCTATAAACAGGAACTTTAGAATTAAACTATTCTAATCATATATTAAAAAAAAACCAAGATTATTTGTGGATCATATGTAATTTTGAGCCTTCACTGGGTGTGGTGGATCTGAGCCAAGATGCTATGCTATGCTATGCTATATGTTAGCATTATTATATATATTTTTGTTGTTGGTAGAAGCAATACAAAAAGATGTAGAAAAGCCAAAGTCATGAGCAGCTTAAAGGGTGTTATTTGTTTATTTTCTCGAGCTATAATAGCTTTTTTCCTTTTCCCCTTGGACCACGTGCTTCTTCGATCTTCTCCTGCGATTATGTAATTGCTTGCTAGCCTCAGTCTCCACTATTACCTGCTGGTGCACAAAATTGGTGTACAATTATTATGAAAGTGGAAGGTTGCAGTGTCTCACTGGCCAAGGGGTCCTAGTGTAAGTTCCCTTCACATTAAGATCTTCTAGTGGGTGGGTTGAGTCTGATTTCGAAACCCTTTTTCCTTATATCAGCCAACTCATTCATTCTACCCATTCTTGTACTAATCAATAAGAAAATGAAAAGGAATAAATCAAGATGTGCTAAATTAGCAAATGTAGCATGTTACCTTATCTTCTCGATGAATAAGATTGTATATAATTTATACCAAGGTTTTAAATTACGGTGGTAGTTTTTATCGCAATGTTGAAGTTTTTGGAGTTGATTTGACCAAAATCATATTTATCTAGAATTTCTCACGAAATTCACAACTGCGATTCAAAACTTTGGTTAATACTGTAATTAATTTCATAAAGCACTATATCATAATTATATATTGATGTAAATTGTAGCTGTACTGTAATTGTACAAATGCAATGCGATAGTAATTGTATTCGTGATGTAAAAGTGTGGTTATAAGTATATGAAGAAAAAAAAATACTGGTAGTGGGGGTTCTTGTTTTGAGGCTTGACACTACTTGAGAAATGAACGTATTTCACCTAAAATAATTTTCTTTAAAAAAAAAAGATAGATACTTCATTAATCATTAAAAAGATTAATTAAATGCAAATGTTACGTTATATACCTCATTTGTTTCTTGGGTTACGTACTTAGAAACGTGAGTTTTCTTTATTGCAAAAAAAAAAAAGTAAGTGTTCTTAATTACAAATTGCTTTAGCATTAGGCTACTAGCAAAGTTTAACATTTTGATTAATTTATCCAGATTAAAATAAAACAAACAATAGTAGACTCTAGGTTCTGTGGTATCGGAATAATGCAATCAATCATATGCGTGTATGAGATTGCCAAAACAACAAAACATATATGGTATAGAGGTTCTTCTAAATATACAATACAAACATAAAAGAAAGGAAGGGAAAAAAGAAGAAAAAAACTACTGAATAGCAAGATTCAGTGCTATATATGTGCAAACCCAGCACATAGATCTGCTTTATTTTTATTTTTATTTTTGGTTTCTCAACTTTATCAATCATTGCTTTGTAATCACAATATGAACATCTTCTATTCTTAAACAACAGACTTTTTGAGAAATTTGGGAAAATGATTTTATATACCGAAGTGGCATGTTTCAGAATTTTTAATTTTTTTGTTTGACAAGTCTTGATATCATTGAGCTTAGTGGATAAAGATGTAGTCAAGAAGAAGAACAATGAGCATTTTACAGGGACCTCACCAAAGATATAATGGAAGGGAAAAAGAGGGTAAAAATAAGAAAAAGAAGGAAAAAGACCCCTCCATGGATACAGCTTTGGTGCACAAATATTGTCCTGGCTTCACATTGACATAAGCCCGTAAAACATGCAATGATATCTTATTAGATTTGGAGCTCAACCCTTCACACACAATCCTAATGGTAAATGTGTATGAACTAGCCACATATGGAGTTAATATCGCTATAATTTTATTTTACTTTTAGCTATATGCTAATAATAAAGAAAATTGTTGTCACAAGTACATATGTATTTTAACTGATTGTTATGTTTTCTGATAGGTAACGATCTTTTCACTTAGGCTTACATTAATTATAATGAAAACCGTTGCTTTACTTGTGAGATTAAGTAACACTTTTTGAGATCACTTATAGCAAATAATTAAATGTTTTAGTCACAACTTTGTAAATACTGTCAGAAGGTGTTTACAATGATTATTCAATTTTTTGGAAAAAGGTGTAGGCAACAATTATTCCATTGTTGAGTTAAGTTTATAAATTGATTCTCTAAATTAGGTTTACACCACCATCTGATCCAATTAAATGAATTGAGGTGCCAACCAACCTATAGTACTACCTGGTTTATTGTTTTAAGTATTACTCCTTCATTTACACGAATTAATAGATTAGTTAACAATATTTACCTTTATTAATCTCATTTAAAAATATATTTCTTTCCTAAACTATCTATTATTAGAACTTGATATATAAAGAACAAGAAAGAAAGAGACATAAAAAGTAACGTCTTAATTAAATGAATGTTTAGGAGAAGTAATAATTAAATTAATAAAATTAATTAAAATTGACTAATATTTTAATTTATTACACATAAAAAAAATTATTATATATTTATCTAGGGAGAGTACTATTATTAATATGGGAAATATCTCAATTTTATATAGCTTAAGATTATAACCACTTCGGTCGACTTAATTAGATAAAAATAATATGCATAAAATTTTAAGTTTTAATATTAATAATTTTGATGTGATATATATATATATATGAAGAGAGAAGTAATTTATTTATTTTAAAAGCAAATTTTCTTAAACTTACTCCACTTAATAATTTATATTTTACATCAAATTTTAATAATCTAACATTTAAATTAAAAAATTTTAATGTATAGATCAAATCTATAAAATTTTAAAATATTTGAAAACTTTAATACCTTGTTTCATTAATTCAAATTAACGTATAAAATGTTTTTTTGATTATCTGTTAATTTGAATTAATAAAACAGAGTATTAAATAATTTTCAATTTTTTTTAAAAAAATTATCGTCTGGATTTGTACATTAAAAACTTTTAATTTAACAATTGAATAATTGAAATTTGATGTAGAATATGAATTATATAATGAAATAAGTGTAGGTATACTTAATCTTAGAGTAAATAGATATTCATTACTCTAAAAGTTAGTTTACTAATTATATTTATTTCATTCAATGATTCATGTTCTACATCAAATTTTAACAATTCAATCGTCTAATTAAAAATTCTTAATAAATAAATTAAATGTACAAATTTATTAATATATATATATATATATATTTTATTTTTTTTGATACTCTATTTCATTAATTTATATCATTGTATAAAATATTTTTATTATTATCTGTCAATTTGAATTAATAAAATGTAGTGTCAAATAATTTTTAAATTTTTTAAAATTTATAAATTTGATCTATATATTTATAATTTTTAATATAATAATTGAATCATTAAAATTTGATATAAAATATAAATTATTAATTAAAAATAAGTCTAATTAGTATACTTACTCATAAAGTGGATCCCTCTGTGTCCCTCTATTTTTCCCCCTCTCTATATATAGTTTATTAGATCCAACATTTCAAGTATAAGTAAATATATATATATATATAAGAATATATATATATATATTTTGTAATTTAAGTAAAGATTAAGATAAAACATGTGACAGGAATAATTTGTATATGCACCGTGAACTACTAAACTATGGTAGGAGGAGAAGGAGAAACAGAATAAAGAAAAGGAATAAATTATTTAATGATTATTTGTGATAAATATTTAAGCTATATTACATAATAACCATTATTAAATCATATGAGAAGTATTTTCAACTATAATTTATGATAATTAAATAATTAATATTTAATTATCAATTAAATAAATACATAAATAAAATGGGAAAAAAATTGTTGTGTACCAATTTCTTATAAATGTTTTTAATTTGTTC